CCCCAAAACCCCAAAACCCCAAAACCCCAAAACCCCAAAACCCCAAAACCCCATTTGGCTGATGCACAATTGGGAGCTTTACTTTATTAATATAAATTATTCTCAAATGAATTCAAATGGTACAATTCTTACAAGAGAAACGCAAAATTTGTGGTTTTTATATATTTGTTAGTACTCATGAGGTATTAGCTTGTCACTGGGCATTGCTAGTGATTAGCAAACATGGTTTTGAAGTATTTTTAGGGAGAAAAGTCTATACGCAATTTTAAATGCCATGCAATTTTTAAATCAAAATCCGTGAAATTTTGGTAGAAAGTGTAAATTTTGCATGTTTCAGAGGGTTTTCTTAGTGAATAAGAAGTAAACAGAGTTTTTTAGGTATGAAATGCAGTGAAAATGACCGCTCAAGTCTTATTGAGCCTACAAAGGATAAGGAATATGAGTTTGTAAGTGCTTGAACCACTGCTGGTTCATCAGCAATACAGTGAAGGGAACCCAAAACTGCTCCAGTAAAAAGTATGTGTATCTTTCACTCGTGCAGTCAATGATTCTTTAGAACTGAGAAGAAGGATCATCAAAGTTTGGACAATGGAGGGAGAAAGTTTCCTAAAAGTGAGGAAAATAAGAATTTCAGACTCTTCAATTGATAAAATTAACACAAAATTTTTACCAAATGTTGAAAAATCTGACCAAGAAGATATCGAAGCCACTGCAGATTCCATTCAAGAATCCTCAATAAAACAGAATCATTGAGCTCAAGAGAACCCAGAGTCAACTAGAAGTTCAGATCATCTCGACAGCAAAGAAGTCTTGAAAGATGGATTTTCTAGATGCTCTTTAAATTTAGAGAGAACAAAGAGATTTACTCAATCAAAAACTTTTCCCCAATGATCTTAGAGTTTAAGCTTGAGTTTATCATAAGCTCAGAGCACACCTTGAGTTTAAACGTGACCAGAGACTCAAATCCATTAAAATTGGCAGAGTACATCTTAAGTCAGCTAGAATGAGCGAATAAGGAGTATTTCAGCTCTGCAGCTTTCAAGAAGGTAGGGGTACAAAACCGGTATCACATAAAGTAAGTACATCTAATTTACCTCTAGATGACTCATAATTGAATATATCTGAGAGAAGATGCATTCTCAATTCTCAGATTTCCATTTTGCTACTGGAGAAATTCCTTAAAACATGTAGAAAAGTCTTGTCTTACTCACAGCGTCAATTTTTGGCGAGAAGCATGGGGTTTTGGGGTTTTGGGGTTTTGGGGTTTTGGGGTTTTGGGG